ACTTATAAGGAGTTTCGTCTAGCTGCTCTATTTTGAAAAGTTCCTGAATAACTTCTGTTATGAATTGGCGCCTATACAAATCAAATGAATGAATTAAATTGAATTGAATTGGATGTGATGAGAGATTTTGTTCATACCGCACATCTCTGCACAGCCAAGCAAAGAGAAACAGTAATTCCTAACAAAGACCTCAGCAATGACGTATGTAATTAGAGAGTATTGCACATAATGATAAAGTAATCCGATGTGGTGTACTGCGGTAGGAGGGTGAATGATTGGGAAAGGGTTGAGGGATGACGTGATGAGTGTCAAGGGATGAGGGGTAGGGGTTCGAGTCGAGTATGAAGGGTTGAGGGTGTAGGTATGAAGGAATGATTTCACGTAAATTGTCACGTAAGGATGGGCGTTCAAGTCACATCTCAGAGAGTGGACTGGTCACAACTGTTTTCCAAGATGGGCCCGCCTGTATTAGTGAGCTACTGTTGTTCTAAACATCTTTTTAATAACTGTCTGTAACAACAAAGTCCCAAATGGTTGTTTTTTACAATGTAGGGGCCCTCATATGCTACTGTGTAAGTGTCCGTGCTATTTGAGCCTTGTTAGTGGGTATAGAAATAGCTTTCTTTTCATTTACTAATGCCCCGCTTGACAGCATTATAAGCGTAATTTAGCGGTTTGTTGCTAAAACTGGTCACGTGCGTTAGAATGAAAAGCATATCCCAGAGAAACAGTACCAACTCGGTAAATAAAGTGTGATTACCCAGGTTCATTTTTGCCGGCGCCGGAATTGTCCTTTAACAGAGGCACTGACCCGTCACATAGTAGGCACATTGACATAATGGTGAATTGGTACTGTTTGCTGCTATAGTGCTATGGTTACCTGTTGGTGTATGTTATTCCTGTGAACAAGTCATCTTTTATAATCATAATTAATAATCACATACAGCTAATACCACAAACTTGGACTTAAATTAAAATGTTAAAATGTAACATGCTGCAAAACCTCCCATTTCTGTCTCTCTGTGGCCATTTTTAACACATTCAGCAGGATAATATCTTGGTCTGGAATGGGCGTTGGGATACTGGTCACAAGGTCAATCAGGTATCTCTATGCGTCATTCACAATTCTCTCTCTCGATGTCTTCTTAGCTGACTATGGGTGTTTACTCTTTCAGTTAAACCAATCAGACTTTGCCACTATCTCCTTTAGCCAATCATGTCATGCTGCCAACGTTTAATCTGTTCTCCTCTCTACTACTGTCAGCTATCATTTCAGCGGGAAATCGTTGCGACCCTCCTCCACCCCATTTACCTCCAGTTCATCATATCCAGTGCCCAGGTTGAGCTCATTAGAGTCCACTCCTCATCACATCCAGATCTTTAGCATTTTCTTCATCCTTCACCACCACAATCAATCAGAGTCTGGACTCCATCAGGGGGGTTTCCTATACTAATCACAGCTTCGCAAACCCCTTAAAATACAAAGACGTCACAATTGGGTCTAATCGCCAAAGACTTTTCACATTTCTCCTCTTTATTATGTGCATGTCAATAAACTATATTCACTCATTCATTCAAAATGAAGTCTGACATGAATACACAGGCGACACTACACAGCCTGAGAAGCTGTTAAATACAGAAATGACAAATCTATATTACTGTGTGGACACTGCTGACGACCCCTTTCTCCACCAACAATCAAAGCAGAGCAGAATGGATTCAGACATTTGAGCACAAAGGAAGCTCCTCAGTGCGACCACAGTGCTTTTGATTTGGTTTCTCTTTCTTCTAAAAATAGACTTCTGTCCATGTCAAATGACACAACAGCAAATCATAAGAGATTGTCTTGAGGAGAGGAGGATTTCATGTGACAGTCTTTAGACTCACTCAGATACTATTATTAGTATGAGGCCCACACTTGAACAAAATCCCACTTTTCAGAGGACAAAAACCAAACATGAGATGTTTGCACATGGCACAAACAGTTTGTGTCAGGGATACAAAGAGTGTGCGTGATTTCAAATTTGCTGGATTGCTACGTGCTTTGATTGTCCCCACAGTAACCAGTAGTTTAGGTGTAACCCTGACAGAAGAAACAGAAAAACAGACCTATATTCAGAAATGAATTGTACAGTGCCGGTTCCCTCAAAAAGCATATTTTCAGTCACCACCTTTTATTATGTTCTTTTCCATACTGCAGTTGTCTGTCTATAAATGGTTCTAACTAGTGTTTACAACCTCATGTAAATTACAGTGTTTCTGCGCCGTGTTACTTCAGCTGTAGTATGTCAGTGACCTCTGATAGAGACTCAGTGGGATAATACACTGACAGAAACACAGTCTAAGAACAGTACATGCGGTAGGGAAGCCACTCTTTGAAATGTAGTATTACTAACAGACACGTAAATTAAAACTGTAAAAATAAAAATGTAACGTTTTATGGAGCATTAGACCATAATCATAGTCAGATGGGTGTGTTTAGGCATCTAAGGATGAGAATCAACCCGGACTGCCTGAGGCAATGTTGAAAATCCACATTTATGTGACAGAAGATGCACAACCAAGTGCTAGAACATGGTGAACACAGCTCAGCATTTTGTTCTCTCTGAATAAAAGCTGAATTTACTGAAAAACATCGAGCTTGTTCATTTGCTCTGGACACATCTGTTTTTTAGAAGAACAGCCAGCGCAAGTAAAATCCCTAACTAATGTCTGACTTGGATAAAAAATACTCATCTGATATTCTTACACTTTCTGGAAAATACACTATTATATCACTGCTGTTTGTTTTGCTTTATACATGGCTCCTGTGGGTCTTTTTTTAAGACAGGATGACCTAGAGCCAAATGCTTCACAGGGTGTTGCGAGGCCTTCTTTATTTTAATGGGTATAAGAAAACTATAATAAAATATACACAATTTACACTATATCTCAGCATTTTTTTCATTTCTGTGAAGAAAGCTAAAGGGCAATGTTATTTTTAAAGTTTAGATTAATATTTAAGACCTGAACACAAACTATATTCACAGAGCCTTCACTCTCTGATGAACAGCCTCGTCCTGCATTAGAAAAGTACGCAGTTAAAACAACCAAAGAGCTAATAGAACACTGACCAAGTGTCCAATTTGTCAAACAGACACCTATGTTTGTTAAAAACTGAAACTATAACAATACATTATATAGAATTGTATAAAAAGTACCAGAAAATAATCTGCTAACTTCATCCAAATCTCTGGTTTTACACAACTTCCTGCAGTTATTGTGTTCACTGTTTGGCTTCATTGTACATTTTATCAGTTGTTTTCTGCTGTTATTGTTATGCACTGAATATAAAATTAAATATCCATAAAATATGTCACTAAGTCAGTTTACTCAGTGATAGAAAATGGCTCCCTTAAGGAAAAAGATTGGGCACCACTGGACTAGAGGTAAAAGACCCCAGCCCTGTACCCTAAAACCTCTCTGTGCTCTGACCTCTCTGATCTAAGGCATATGGGGACTGTATGTGTAACTAGGAAGGGTGAAAAGACAAATTTCAATTACCTTGTGTACTCTGACCATGAAGTAATCTTCATCTTCTTAAGATACTCAGTAACAGTACATAATGTTTGTACGCTATTTGTCTGCGGTCTGTTTCAGTAGGCGGCTTCCCTGCCTATACACCCTGACCTCCCCGAGAGCTTTGATTCATATGTACATAAAGATGGAAAATTATCAGAGCGGCATGAGCGATAAATTGAATATATAAGATTATCATAGTGTATACACACTTCACACTAACTCTGTAACTCAAGCAACAGACGCTCATAAGGACAAAGTATTGTGCTGCTCTCCACAGCTCCTCAAGTCCTGATTAGACCTCGATGCCTACACAGCAGTTATCGACTGCAATCCCAGCAGAATTAACACACTGGACCACAGCCTGAAGCCAAAAGCCTGAAGGAGCTGTGGGCAGATAGTAAAGAATTGTCCTCTGAGAGAGTAATCTTTTACCAGGAGAATACAGACAGAAACACATGACCATTTAATTGGGCACATGAAGGACAAGGGATGCAACTGAGGCTAAAATTTAAAACAGAGAAAGTTAATTTGCATTTTTTTCAAATCAATGACTTGGAAAAAATGCTAAGTCACTGCAACAGAGGAGGATGCTAAGGTTGTAACTTACAGTCAGGAGTTCTTTCTGGAAGGACTTCCGCTCTTTGCTCTCGGCATTGTTGCAGTCCTCCTTCAGCTTCTCCAGCACTGATGCGACCCTTTCAGGTTCGCTGTCAAGCTCTGCGCGACAGAAATGGGTCAAGGGCAGGTTGATGTATCCGAGCGCATCCGCAAACGCTCTCCAGTTGCCGATGTTCTCCATCAGTATAGTTCTGACAGAGGCATAGATGTACGTGAGGAATTTGCAGGGCTTCAGTATCTGCTCCAGTAACAATGAAGTTGTAAGGTCAGGCCCACTGAAGTAAATGGGCTTCACTTTGCCAACCACTAGCACATTCTTTGCATGAACAAATCCCATTTTGCCCTGATAATATCCAATGTACCATTCTTTTGTCCACAGCTGGCCTTTCAGCTTGATCTTCTCCTCACTCAACAGAGCTACAAAGTCTCCTTTTTTATACTCGAGCAAGTACTGATTTTTTGTTTGTCGGATGACAGTTTTGATTAATTTGCCAAACTTCAGGTTATTTATTCTCCTGTCCTGGAAAACAGGATACTTGGTGGCGATGGCGAGAGGTGACAAGACAATCTTGCCCACTTCCTTCTTCTTCAGGAAGCGCCGTTGCACTGATGTCTTTGGGCCTGCTTTGGGTGGCGGTGTTGGTGTCTGGACACAAAACTGAGCCAGTATACAATCTTGGTCGTCTTTGACCTGGATTCTTAAGGTGAAATCAGAAACATCTTCAGTGCTGCGTGAGGCAATGACATAGATGAGCCTGCTGACTTTGCCTAATTTAACCTGGAAGCCCCGGACCACTCTGGCCTGGTCACTAGCCTTTACCTCATATTTGGCCATGTTGGAGTAAACTCCAACACAGAGGTCCTGGGGTTTGGACAAGACAAACTGGTGTTTACCCCAGAGCTGCAGGACAACTGATGGTGCAGACTGCACCTGTTTGCCTACCTCACTCACCAATAATGTTTTTGGAGCACAATCGTGGCCAAACATGGCCACGACTGTTTTGAAGGACGGGTGAATATGTTTGGGACCATATACCCCTAAGGTGATCTTTTTAACAACATGCTCCCAAACTGTGGAGTCTGGGGATATGGACTGGGACTGAGCCACAACACACACATACATGCACGGTTCAAGGTTATCCAGGCACACCTGGACGGTGTCCCCATACATGTACGCCTGAGGAATGGGGCTGTAAGGTCCCTCTTTACAATCACTCCTGACACACAAGACTTCTGTCATCTGCCTGCTTTCCATTTTCACCACAACAGACACTTTCATTTCCAGGGTAACAGTGGTTTTGGTCTCCATGTTGCTGAGTTTGATCTCCACCACAGGGCTGACAGTGGTGCAGCGGTCGTTGTTCAGCTCTAAGGGCGGGTCGAGCAGAGCTTTGATTGAAATCTGCTGGGTGTCCCCTGGGGCCACGTGGCCCTCGGGTAAATGGATGCTGATGTTGGTGTCCGGAAGCTGGACAGCACCTCCTGAGCTGTCCAGCCGACAGACAATGTTGGTCTCCACTGGTTGTGTTTGGCCCCAGCCTGGGTTCTGACCCAGCGAGTCCAAGTCATGGCAGGACCTGGCTAGCTTGCGGTGGGTGAGCCACGCTGTCCGGAAATCCTCCCTGCTTTGGAACTGCTCTGGTGCCGGTGCTTTAAGACCTCCGAAGAAACTGTTGGAGGTCTGAGGGGCGTCGGACTGAGCCTGCAGGATAGACAGCTCAGACAGACTGTAGGAACGTTTGCTTCTAAAAAATGGGTTGTCCCTGCGCAAGGTTTGCCCGACCCCTACAGTGGGACTAAGAGGGTTCAAGTTAAAAACGCCGCTGCCAAAGCCATTGATGTCAGCAGTGCTGCTGGTGGAATTGGGCACTGATGGAGTGAGTGTATCGAACAGGAGGAGGTCAACTGATTTCTCATTACTGTTCTGATCAAGTGAGCTCTGAGGCCCCCCGTTTAGGAAAGGGTTTGTAGAGGTATGGGTTGCTGCAAAAGGATTTCTGTTTTGGAAGGTTGTTGGTTTCAAAATCACCCCGGCCCACTCTCCTAGAAGGTCCATTTCTTTGGCTGCCTCCTCGTTGCAGTCTCCTACGGTGTCAATCATCCCACTGTCACTGAAGGACGAGTCTCTGTAGTTGATGGGCTGCACATAAGCAGCAGGGATGTAACCCATCTCTGTGTTGTTGTGGGCATACCACCACTCACCTCCTGATGAGTCTAGAACGTAGAGGCGATCCCCTTTAGAGAACTTCAGGGTGGTGAAGCTGGATGGGCAGTAGTCCTTAATAGCAACAACTTCCCTGGCAGTCCCGAAGGAAGCAGTTGCGTCCAGTCGCAAGGCACTGGGAGAAGGCACTGGAAAAAAACAAAACAAGATCGTAATAAAGTATAGGTGGATAATGTCCTAGACTTCAAATATTGAGTTTTTTGTCAGTAGCAATCGAACCAACAACCTTCCGATTAGGGGACGACCCACTCTGCCTCTGCACCCAAGCCGGTGGAGGGGTGGATCAACACTTTCTACTACAGTGTCTTTTTCGCCTAGTCAGAACGCTTATATAGAAAGCACAAATATCGAAAGAACAAAAACATGACAACAAACACAACTAAGGCCTACAGTTAATAAGAATAACAAAATAACTGTACCACTTGCAAGGATGTCATCATTAAAAATACAGGCTATCTCAGGCAGCTATGGACTGTCACTATTAGATGCTTCAACTAAGTAGAACACAGACTTGACATGTTTTAGCACAGACTGGGGGAAAACGGGAAGTCTCCTCACTAATTCATCTGCTCCTGCTGTTTCTTGAAGGGACAGCCCAAACAAAGTAGAAACTGCTTACTGTTCAGTTTCACCTCTCTAACCAGAGATGGCTCAATATCTCATCAACAAACAAAGAGCACAGATGTATTTTAGTCTTTTCTCACTCTGTCCCTCTCCATCATGTGACTGCAAGATTCACTTCAATCAAAGTTGTCAACAATGTGATGTTTTGACATTTTTGTGCAAATCATAGTAACTCGATTCACATGTTTTAGACGTTTTAAAGATCAAAACAAGCAATTCAAATGAATCAAATTAATTTTTATTAATCCCACCAATCTGAATTAGGGCTGGGTAATACGTTAAAATTTTCTAAACAGCCACCATCCGTCCAACTGACGACTGCAAATATATTCGCACATGCATGTGTGCTGATGCTCCTCTACCACTCCACGCCTCTCTTCTCCTGGCCTGTCCCTCTCCTGTTTTAGCCTGTCCCTGCTTTATCCTCATCCTTTCCGGAGTAACAGTTGGAGCCTCTGCGAATCACCTGAATTTCCAGTCGTCAAATTAGTCAAAATAAACCCTTAATTCACGGCAGTTAGATGTAAAAATATACTGGCTCTACAGCCGTTTTTCCTCACTAATTTTTTGGCTTGGTGTGCATATGGCACAACTGAGCAGCAGCTCTCATTTTCGGAGGCAGACGAGTAAATTAACAAATAAAATGACAGAAATCCCCAAAAACCCTGTTCACCAGCCAATATATTCACCCAAACTTCCAAACCTAGTTTGAATGTCATTAAAACTACAAAGGTGATTCTGTCTTCCTGTTAAATGCATTTGTCACTTTGAGCAGCTGACCTTTGACATCAGTCAGACTGGCTTCGGACACTCCTTCGCTGAGATCGATGAGCGTCCCCTCGGACTTGCACCGCGGGAGAGAAGTGTTGTTGGTGGCGGTGGCTCTGATTCGATGGGCAGCCATGTTGTCACTGTGCACCAACCAGTGTCTTTAGGCAACTCTAATGGGTTTCCTTTTGCTAGTGGTGAAGTCAAATGTCAACATCCTCCCATGATCTCTGAAAGACAAAAAGAATAGGATTATATAACATAAAACTAGACCTGTGTTTCTTTGCTTGTTATCTGGTACTTATGATTTACAGTGTTAATAATGACTTTATTAAGGAGACAAAAGAGGTACACAGCGCAGTGTGTCTATGTGAAAGATCAAATGCAAACATTCAGACTCCCTATCCTCTCCTTTTGAAATGTGTTTTGTTGACGTTAATCATACCGGAACTGAGATTTTCAACCTTCTTTTAATTTGCAATATTTTTCGTTTCCCTGCTTACAAACTTTCAGCGTGCTGCAAATCAACATAAACTAAGCAATAAACGGCAGTATAAAGTGGATGTGCATAAATATGTGTCTGATTAAAGTCTTCCGAATAGCTTTGATCCTCCAGCTTCCTCTCAAGAGCCTCCTCTTTGGACCTTTATGTACAAAATCAGACCAACAGGAGACTTAGAAAATAAATGTAAACAGAATAACAAATTATTTCACGCTGAGTTTGGGCTGTCTTGACTCATAAATGCAGATGTCTGATTAGCATTCCTAAATATCAGATTATTTATTCAGAGGCCTTGTACACCATTTCTGTGATCATTAACAAATTGGTTAACTGAGAGGAAAATTAATATTTCAAAATCTTCAGTTCATTTTCTCTCTCTCTCTGTCTCTCTCTCTCTCTATATATATATATATATAGTGTATGATAAGGCAAATCATATCATATATTGACTTTATTGGTAAATTATAGGCAGAACTAAGGGTAAGAAAGGCTAAGATTTGGTGAGAAAAGATGGATGATTTAAAAGTCATTCAGCTCTGTTCTATCACCATCACTACTTTTAACACAACAACAACAAACAACAGATCTGACTCTTCAAATGTTCTTTTGTTTTTTTTAGTTCATCAAAATGCAACAAACTCATTTTGAGACTGGCATAGACCATAAAGCCTACCAAACATTTTGCACAAAAGTTCAAAATATATTACTAATATTATCCGAATCATATATTACACAATATACATAAGGTTCTATATTTTTCTTACTGTCAACAAATCCCATGAAAAGATCAAAACCGACACTGTGTTAGTCTAGACATAAATATTTAAAAATGGCAAACAGATAGCAGTTCAATTTGATTGGTCATCATTATCAGACAATAATAAGAGTAATTTTTGAGTAAACAATAAAACACCAAAGTGGATAATTCAGTAGAATTACAAAGGTTAAATGACCTACAGAAAAAGAAATATACCCTCCACACTTTCACTGTCTTTCTATTGAAAACTGTTCAGTTCTAAATTGCTCCCAATAACCAAGAACAGGCTGTGGTTTTAGTTGCGTCATGCTGCACATGTTGGCTGCCAATAACTACACAGTTGTCAGTTCATGACTTAATAATTAATGAATTATTTTAATTTGAATTATTTAATACTTAATATGCAATGTTGTTAGAAATAGTAAATAATTATAAATAAATAAGGCTACACTATAAACATCAGTCTTCAAATAGACCTAGTGATCGGTATGGGCCGATGCTGCTTCTAGCGATCGGTGAATGGCCTCAAAAACCCTGATCAGAGCACCGTTATAGTAGTGCTGGCCGATACACCAGATGAAATAACTGTGTACCCTTATAACTAAAAGATATTACTTAATCACACAACAATTAATAACCCACAGCTAACTCTCTTCATTGTGTTTACTCCCAGTTTTAGGTACTTTTAATGGTATTACTAACCAACATTTAAATCACTGATAAAAAATTTATAAAATGCAGAAAAACTGCAAACAGCAGATGTGGGTCAGTGGAACGCCACGGTCTGAGACACCCCATGCGTTTTACTTCAATCCATAATTCATACCAGTGTCAGCTCGGGGAAGACATGCTGCACAGAGAGGATGAGGCTGGTGATGGCTTATTACTGACACACTTCTACAGCAGGAGACATTCAGCTGGGACACTTCAGACAACACTGATTTAATTTTCATTACATAACTTTTAAAACATTTAAATCGCGATGAGGTGACATTTGTTGGGGTCTGTACCAAACAAATATGTTTTCTTAAATCTTGAAAACAAGATTTGTGATAGCTTACTACTGACACACTTCTACAGCAGGAGACATTCAGCTGGGGCACTTCAGAGACAACACTGCCAAACTCTGCCAGCAAAGACCACAACTGCTCCACTCAATTAGGACATTTTTTATTTTTATACTGCACAATATATTAGTGTAGATATTCAGTAGTGTATGAAACCTGCAGTAAAATCTCCCTTCAATAGCTAACATCTTTAAGTTGAAACTTTCAGGTTCCTGTTTTGATTTGATTGGACAATTAAGAATAACAATCATTGATGGTGTAATCCACTGTTGGTGGATGTGTTTCATCCATTTAATGTAGTTCACTCGCTGCCTCCTCCAGCACTCCAGTGTGAGGCAGCAGGTGTTTTTAACTATAATATTAGGAAATGCACAGGTGTTACTAATCATGTTAATGATGGCTCCATTCTGTTCAAGTGGGCAAGGCATGACAGTGAGGCAGCAGTAACATAACACAATAACCCTGAAACTGAAGCAACTAAAAGGAATGTAGCATTAATTCACTGTATTATTTAAAGTTATGTTGGTCTGTTGGTTCACCTCTTTGGGTCAGGCTGAAATATGTCAACTATCGGATGGATCGCCATAAAAAGTACAAATATTTATTTATCGTATTTATTTATCGATCCCCTGACTCTTCCTCTAGTGCTACTATAAGGTTGACATTTGTGAATTATAATAACTCTGGTGATCCCTTAACATTTTAGCTAGCGTCATAACTGAGTTAAAGCTTTCAATTTGTCCAGTTCTCTTGTTTATGACCAAACCCTGACATTCCCATCAGCCTAGGGCTAATTAGCAAATTTAGCATTCTAACACGCTAAACTAAGATAGTGAACATTTTAAACATTATACCTGCTAAACATCAGCTTGTTAGCATTGTGTTTTAGCATACTGATGTTAGCATTTAATTCAATGCACCGCTGTGGCCATGTATAGCCTCACAGAGCTGCATGGCTGTAGACTCTATGGGTCCCATCACACAAAGACGCATCACTAGGGCAGGGTGATAAATCGATTTTATCGATTAATTTGAATT